TACTTTGTTAAGTGAAATTCTGTATCACTTGTAATTTTTTTCTTTTAATACTATTTTATATTCTTTTAAAAAATTAAAAAATATACTCATCATTGGGGCTGGTGAGAGAGCTCCACGGTCTAAAGTGCCTGCTTAGGCAAACTTAGACCGGCACACAGGACCACAGTTTGCTCCCTGGCACCACATGTCATGCCAGTCTTGCCCTCAGGGTGGGCTGGCCCCCCCAATAAAAAAAAAGCCAAAATCTACTTGACACACAACACTTAAGGCAGCGGACATAGAAGTATGAACATGCATTCCCAACGCAGAACTGTGTGCACCGCCAGGCCCTGCTAATGGAGTTCCAATTGTACATGCAGATATCTGGCAATAGGAATAACTGGTTGGAAGACAGCACTATTATTACAACAAATACTGTGAGATTCATATTACTTAGTTAAGCAAAATTCTGTATCACATAATTTTTTCTGTTTTATTTCTAATTTGTAGGCTCTTAAAAAACCAGACACTGAATACATAATCTGGGAAAGGTCTTGGGCTACTGGTGTATCTTCTTTGAGTTATGAGATTAAAGTGTGAATCAATAAGACAAGATCAGGACTGGGGAGATGGCTCAGTGGAATAAATGCTTCTCTGGCAAGCACAAGGGCCTGAGTTCAATCCCTGGTTCCATCAAAAAACCAACCAACCAACCAAACAACAAAACAAGAGACAAGCTTATGCCACATAATTGCTTTGCTAAGGTAGACCCCTTACTCTGATGAAGTCACCCATTGTTCCCCCATCCTGCACACACATCCTGTGATGGGTGACTTGGAGCAGATGCTAACAGATGCACATTTGTCCCTGACCCATACACATCCCAGAGGCTGTTTTCTTGTAATTCTGGTTGCCGGGAGTTTGGACTCTGGGTCAGCAGGTTGGCTTTTCTTGGTATTTTGGGGCACAAGCCTCTTTGGGGTACAGACCCACGGGCTGGAGGGTGTGCCACCCCAGCCTCTGCCTTCGGCTGCACCTGGCTTTGTTTCCACTCTGCACCTCCACTCTCCCGCTTTTCTCCTCATGTGGGGCCGCTTGGGTTTGTCTCCTCCAACTCCTGTGGAAATTTGTGATGGCTTCTTTGAGTTGCAACGTGCACTCAGGCCCCTCGACTTGGCCCCTGCCTTTCCCTGTGTGTGTCCGCCAGGACGTAGGAGAGAGACTTTCCTAGAGGGGCTTACAGAGGCCAGCACAAGGTGAGGTGAGGAGGAATGCAGAAGGGCTGTCTGTGCGCCGCCGGCCCTAAGCGTCCAGGTGGCGGCGTTCTGAGCAAGTCCTTCTCAGGAGGCCACAGTCTTTGGCGGCGGGCTGAAGGTGCCAGAAGCCTGGAGCTGACATCTAGGGTGGGTGTGAAGACTGAAGCTCCTCCAAAGAAACCATGAAGCCTTCTGTCCTGGCTTGGGGTTTCACTAGGAGAACGATACAACACAGACATGTATTTTATAAGAGTGTTTTATAATGAGTCACCCAAAGAATCATATACAGAGGGGGTAACATTGCTGGTGCCATGTCATACTGCCAGCAGAAAGGGAAAGACCAGATAATATTTCTGACCAAAGAAGACCAGGAGACCCCTAGCAGTGCAGAGCTGGTGGCTGATGACCCCAATGATCCACACGAGGAATGTGGGTTGATACTGCCAAGTGGAGAAATTAACTGGAACTACCCCTGCCTGAGGGGCGGCCAGCGGCCCCTGTGGAGAGCATTTGGCCCTTTCCTGCTTCCACTATAGCACAGAGGATGTCAAGGGGTCAGACTGTGTAGACCCGTTTCGGGCCACGCAGGAATGCATGCAGGAACACCCAGACCTGTATCCCTGGGAGGACAAAGAGGAGGAGGCAGAAGAGAAGCTGTCAGAACGTGCAGAGGAAATGGGTCCCACTGGAGCCACTGCCACCACAAAAGGGTCAGCCTCCACTTAATGCAGGCCACCGTGCTGGCTCCTATCCTCCCATTCCAAAGTGACATGGATCTTTTGCAAAATGCCCTTTCATTTCATTGTTCTCCAAGAAATGTCTTTCGCTGTGTTGGTCTGTGCACTGTAATGCATAATTTATTTTGATGATCAGGGTCTTGCCCCTTGACAGATACACTGCAAAGGAAAGCAGAGGTTGTGTGTGTGTGTGTGTGTGTGTGTGTGTGTGTATGTGTGTGTGTATGTCCGTGTCCTGCATAAACCTGTCAGCCAGTGTAGCTGCCACTTTTGATTTCTCTCAGATTGTCCTGAGTTTTGCCACCCTGAAATAATGTACTGGATGGTCTTGGTAATTGAAAATGGTTATCCAGGAATGTTTCTCAGAAGTGAGTTGATTTCTTCTGATCTGTAATATTCCTTTTCATAGCTTTTATTCCTCTTTGGGAAATTAAATAGAAGCAGCAACATCTTGCTTCTGAAACGCGCCTGTGGAGTCATTCCTCATAGGAGAGGCCAGGTAGTCAAGACGGCCAGGCCCTTGCATGTGGGGTCCCAGACTTCATTCCTCCTATACTTTTGTTTTCATTAACTTTGAGCTTGGTTTTCTAGTCTGGAAAGTGAGGATTTGGACCCTCCAATTCCTGCCCTTTTCCGTGTGAAAGGAAAGGCTGTTTTGCAGTTTTTGTTATACTGTTGTGAGAGCCCTGGTTTGGGGTTTGTATTTATACTGGCTCTCAGGCTGGTCAGATGTCATCTTCTCAGAGGTTGGGACCTAATTATTACCAGCATAGCAGGCAAGAAAAGAAACTGTGAATTCAGTAACTCAATTAAAAGAAAGGTGACTTCTAAAAAAAAAGAATCATATACAAAGAGTAGGAAATCTGTCCACGCACTAAAGACCGAGGAATCCAGCTGAGGGCTTGGATCCTAATATCTTGCATGAGTCCAACTGAAGACCTAGAGCCCATAAGAATGCCCCTACCCCCAAGTCCAACTGGGGGCCTAGAGCCATGATAATGTCTCATGCAGGCCTTCTTCATAGATCTGCACTGGGAAGGCCCAAAAGTCAGCAGTGGAAGCTAGAAAGTCTGTGCCATTGGGATGAAGGATCTGTGTGAGCAGGCTGAGGGGTCTGCACTGATGTTAGGAAGCAACACTCAAGGTGAGAACCAGAGCTCCCCTGAAAAGTACCACAGCCATCCCAAGTAACAGTGAGGTCCCAAGCTCCTCTGAGGATGAGTTCAGCTGAGCTCTTATCAGGAAAGCCAACATGATGAGCTTCTCCAGGAGATTGAGCTGTGCATCATCTTCCCCTCCAGAGCCAGGAAGTGATACTCCAAGTGAAGACCAGAGCTCCCCCAAAGTGAACTGTAGCCATCCTCAGTGACAGTGAAGGTCCTGAGTTCCTTCAGTAATGAGGACATCCGAATCTATCTGGAAAGCCAGCATGCCAAGCTCCTCCAAGAGATTCAACAGCTCCCTACTGCCTCCTTAACAGCTTTCAGTAGCTTCTCTTTTTCTTCTTCAGTTCTTTTCCTTGTGCTGCTGGTAACAGCCCTCAGGTGGACCTCCCACAGCCAGAACCATGTTAGTTCAGTTCAACTGGGTGTAACAAGTTGACCACCAGTTGGTAATCCACCACACCTTCCTTTTTCCTATTCCTTTTATACTACTCAGATGAGAGGCCTACCCAGAGTGGGCCTTCTGTCTTCAGTAAATCTTCCTAACAACACCCACAACTGTGCTAATCCAATCTAGTTGGGCATTTCTGTCTCGGATTGACTCAGTTCATTGTCACACCATGTGAGGACATGGCAGGGCAGGCCCGGCCAGGTCAGGATGTGGCATGGCGGTAGTGGCCAGGTGCCTGGACTTGTGACTCGCCAGCTTCCCAAACTGAGAAAAAACTTCCATTCTCTGCTGTCAAGCGTTCCGCTGTACCAGCACACAGCAGAGCAGCATGAAGCCTTGGGCTCCTTGTGTAGTCCTCAGGTGCAGTAATGCCTCCTGCAGGGATAAGCCGAGAGCGCATGCTGGCAGCTGCGTACTCCTCTGATGGCTGGGCAACGTGGTCGCACTTTGTCAGGGGAGGCCAGTGCACTGCAGACAGCTGCTCTTTCCAAAGATGCAAAATGGGAGCTCAGGGACTGGACCCCAGAGGCTGGGGTTTTCTTGTGACGTCTCTGTTTCCTGTTGGAAATAAGCAATACTTTTAAAATGTATTTGTTGTGAATTAACAATTCAGTAATTTGTAGAAATGTGTGCATTCATGTATGATGTCATTTCTGGAAAGAATTTTAAACAGCAAAACAAATGACCATTATATGATAGTTGATTGATTAGGGACAAATTTTCTCTGATTCCATCTGAATTTTAGGAGTCTTTTCTGTGGATCTGTGAAGAATGCTGTTGGTATTTTGTTGGAATTTATAATATATATATATATATATATATGTATATATAGTTCTGACTTGTGGCCATCTTGACAGTATTGGTTCTGCTTATCTAAGGGTATGGAATATCTTATCTTTCCACTTTCTGATGTCCTCTATAAGCTCCTTTTTAAGAACAGTTTGTTTTTTGTTGTAGAAACTTTTAACTTCCTTAATTATGTTATTAGGTATTTAATTTTTTGGAATGGGATTTTCCCATTTTTTTCTCAGGGAGTTTATTATTACTATATAGGAATGCTATTTATTTTTTGTTTTGTGTCGA